ACACAAATCCATTCTTTTTTTTTAAAGATTTATTTATTTATTTATACAAGCACTGGGTACAGTCAGAAGTGCGGGAGGGTGAGAGAATTCACCAGAGTGGGCAACAGAACAGGCAGACTGACAAAACACACTGCTGAGGGGAGCAGCGGGCATGGCAGGAGAGGTCTGTGTGCCATGTGGGACCCTCACCAGTGGCCGGGGATTGCACCGGCGCTGCAGAGGCTGCGGGCAGCTTCGCAGCCCAGTGCTCAACCGCTGCGCTACCAGGGGAGGCCCAAAAATCCATTCTTTAATATGAATCAGATGACAATACTCCACTGTCTAAAACCACATAGTTTCTCAGTGCATTTAGAATAAAATTCTAATTGTAAATGGCATGGCATAAGCTGGCCCTCCCTAGCCTCCTTAGTCACACTCTTGCCATTCCCACTTTACCCATTACAATTGTTTTCTTGCATATGACAAGTTATCCCTGTCTCAGGACCTTTGCATAAGCTGTCCCCTCAGCCTGGAACACTCTGCCCTCCTGCTTGCACATGAACAACTTTTTCCAATCATGTTTCATTTCAAATGTCATTTCCTTAGTGAGATCTTTTCTGATCACCCATCCTAATTAGCAACTTCCCACCATCCTTCCCACAGTCACCCTTTCAAACAACACCTATCTTATTTTCTCATTAATATTATTCCTATCTGAAATTATTTTGCTCATTGGCTTAATACACTTATTCCTATATGTAAACTAACATAGCTGTTAAATAGAAGATATAATCATGGCTGTCATAAGAGGAATCTATCCCAAAGACATCATTTAGCTCAAAAATTAAGAGATAACCAGTGAGATGTTACAACCAATTCAACAAAGAAATCCAAGGTGCAGACACTGCCATTCAGCTAAGGAATGCTTAACTGAACTTGCATATTGATGTAGAGCTGGCAAAAGTGCTCAATGTCCAACAGTGATAATCAATTGCCTTCGACCTGACACAGTTTGCAAGTCTATGGAAAGGAAATAATCACATTCTAACAGTTTGTTACCAGTTAACGTCTTTTTTTTTTTTTAAAGATTTATTTATTTATTTATTTATACAAGCACTGGGTACAGGCAGAAGCGCGGGAGGGTGAGAGAATTCACCAGAGCCAGAGCGGGGAGCAGAGCAGGCAGAAGGACCGAAGTACACTGCTGAGGGGAGCAGTGGGAGGCAGGAGAGGTCTGCGCGCCACGTGGGACCCTCCTCCGGTGGCCAGGGAGCAGACAGGGATCGAACCGGCTCCACAGAGGCTGCGGGCAGCTTGGCAACCCAGCGCTCAACCGCTGAGCCACCGGGGAGGCCCCCAGTTAACTTCTTTCTCTACAGAGTTGTAAAAAAAACCTAATATGTGATGTGATCTAACAATTTCACTCCTAGGTGTTTATCTGAAGAATGCAAAAATTTGCTAAGTTCATAGCAGCACTATTTACATAGGCAAACTATGGAAACAACTTAGGTTCTTAGGGACAAATGAGTGGACTATGAAGGTGTGATATATAAATACAGTGGAATACTACTTAGCTATAAAAAAGATGAACTCTTGCCATTTGAGAGAGCATGGATGGACTTGGAGTGGATTCTGCTAAGTGAAATAAGTCAGAAGGAGAAAGACAAATACTGGATGATCTTACTCATATGTAAAATTTAGAAAAATGAAACAAAGAAACAGATCAAACTAAACCAAACAAACCCTAAAAATATGACTTTAATTAAGGCTACCAGACGGGGAGGAGACCCAACGGGCTGTGGTGGAGGATTATGATGGTATATGTGGTGACATACAGACAGAGGTGTGAGCCTATTCTCCTAAACCATACAGAGTTGTAAACCAATGTTACCTCAATGGAAAATAATTAAATAAAAAAAATGTAAATAGTCTAGTGGACAATGAACCCTCCCACCCCCACAGTAGTAAATAATCTCCAGAGGCTCCAGATCCACTAATAGGGTATTCGTAATCTCTTTTGCCCATTTCACAATTATCCATTTTTCCCCTGGAATACTGATAACAATCTGAAATTATCTTGTTCCTATATTTGCTCCTTTTTCCCATCTTCCTGCCCTGGACTGTAAGCTACATAAAAGCAAAAGTAATAACCACCACTCCCCAAATAGACAGCTTTGGCTGTCTTCTTCCTCGGTTTCCCCAAAGTCCAGAACTATGACTGATTTCTATTCAGAGCTCAACAGTATTTGTTGTATAGGCAGGTGACCAAAAAGTATGTGGGAAAAAAAAATCACACAATAAAAAATTCAAATTAAAATATTCTGTTCTCTTTCACATTGGCAGCAAATCTTCAGTGGTTTCAAGTCCTGCTGAGAACAGAGAGAAGGTGTCACGGATTATCCTTGTTGGCTCAGCACCCAGTTCTAAGGCATGAGCTGGGTTTCCAAGAATATCAGAATTCTGAAAACTCAGAGCTGGTGTTTGCCAAGGGGAAAAACTCACTGGAGATTTAGAAGGCAGAAGTGGGACCAAAGCCAGAGATCCTGGAGACCAGACTTTCTAGACTATTCCATGAGTTCCCACTTTGCAATTGTGTTGGATTGTGGGGGTTGCTCCAACTTCTCTCAGCCCAGAGCTTAGGGCTGAAGTCACTTTATCCCATCTGACTGCAGTCTTTCACAAGGTCACTTCCCCTCTCTTCCTACACTCATGTAGGCCTAATTTCTATATTAAACTCTTTTCCCTAAAAGGCTTGTAATGAGTGGTTCTATTTCTTGACCAACACCAGATGAATACAGAAGGGATTTTATACACTCCTGGAATGACTCTCTTTGGTTCAGCATTCATTCATTTAGTTGTTATTATGCCTTAGAGAGTAATTTGGTAGTTGTCAAGCAAAAGTTTACAACCTTTGACCCAGTTACTCCACTTCTGAGAACTAATCTGTTCTACAGAAGCAATCAGACAAAGATCTAGGTTTATAGAAAAGGATGTTAATGAGAGCAAAAGTAATAACCACCACTCCCAAAATAGATGAAGACCAAAGCCCAACAACAGGGAAGTGATTTAAAACTTAAGGTATATTCATAAATGCAACATTATGTGACTTACACGACATTTTAACTTCTTCATGATATGGTAAAATTACAACCAAAAAAGGGAGATGCAATATAGCAAATAATATAGGAAGCATTTCAGTTTGCTAAAATAAAAATAAAATGCAAGCCACTCTCTATTGTATATTACCTACATGACTTTGGGCAAATCAGTTAACTTTATGAACTTCACTTTCCATATGTCCAAGGGGAGATCACACCACTCGCCATGGCTTTTCTAAAAGGTGGAAAATGTAAGTTCTTTATGTGAAGCAGCAGTTCCCTAGGAGAGGTCTTATTCATTGTGTTCTCATTATATCACAGGGAGAGGACAGCACAGTGATTAAGACTGGAGCCAGCTAGCAGCTTCATGCCAGGAAAGTCCCCTAGCCTCTGCATTTCAGTTTCTCCATCTGAAGATAAACACATAACTAGTATTATCTTATTTTGTTACTATTATTGTGAGAATTAAACTAGGTGATTGGTGCATTGTTTAGGACAGGGGTTACTACCTAGTAAAAAGTAAATAAATAGTATATCTTCCTCTAAATTACCCAACATATTCATTCTGCAACTGTTTCTGAACCATTCATTATGTATTTTAGGCTGAGAAGGAAGAGGTTCCAGAAACATTTAATAAGAGGTCCCCTACTCTCAGAGGAGCTTGGAGTCAAATGAGGCTTGATCCACTACTAAGATTAAAGGGGGAAATATATGTCATGAACCTGGTACTGGAAGGGAAAAGGATGCCCCTTTGATCAGAAAATTGTGATTTTATGAGATGAAGTAACTTACCTGGCATCTGCCAGTTAATACTGATACTAATCAAGACTCATCAAGACGAACATAAATTGCAGCATTGACATTTGTATTGTATATATTTTATCTCCCAGGATCTTCAGAACAACATAAAAAGTGGGCTTTGTTGCCCCAGTCTTACAATTGAGGCATCTGGAGCTCAACAAAGGTGAACTTGCCCAAGGTCAGGGTAACGCCATCCCTGTACCCCCTCTCCATGGAATCATAAATCAAAACGACTTTTAATTTCAAGTTTATGTAGCATTGTGATTCATTGCGTTATCCTTAACCTCCCACCTCCTGGGATCTTTTTCACCCAAATATCAAGAACCAGCTCTTTAGCAATATTGCCATATAGCATCCAGTACCTAGTATGGTGCCTGGCTAGTTAGCAAGCCCCAATAAATCAATGTCAAAGAGATTAAGAATACATGTATGTCCAAGTCCACGGGGAAAAGACAGAACAATTGTCTCCTCCCTATTAAGGCTTTATTTAAATAGCAAGAATGAAAGCTGAGATAATAAACCATGAAAACAGTGAGCGCTCAGCTGCTAGCAAACTATCTGTTCTCCCTGGCTAGCCTCCCGTCAACTTCAGTCAATAGTGCAATCCTATGGCACATTAAGCGGAGAATTTGATCCAAAAGAAATACAATTGGTAGGCCCATAGGCAATTGTTCTGATTAAATACAGCCTGCCGGAATTAAAACACCATAGGCTGTTTGCAGAACTTCTTGGTTTTAATTAGACAAACCCCATTTTAATAACAAAGACAACAACGTATTCCTCAGGCCCCGTGGCGTGATGAATATAATTAGTCTATGATGTAGTGTGGCTAATCCGCATCCAGTGGTGGAAATTACAAGATGATCAATTAAAGCTGCTCAACTTAATTCCTCCAAGTCTCATTTGGTGGACTGAGGTAGGCAGTTCGCCTTGTGTCAGCCTTCGGGGAGCAATTTATCTCACCAACATTTCAATTGGAAAAGAACTAACATTTGTTAACAGCTGATTATGTACCAGGCTCGAAGCTTCGTCATTTCATGGACCACCTCCCTCTGTCCTTTCAATGACCACATCACCCCACTAGATGTGCAAACTGAGACTCAGAGAGGTAACATAACTAACCTTGGCATGCACCAGATATGTTGCAGAGCTTGGATTCAAACCTGGAGTTGTCTGGTTTCAAAGAGAGTGGTTTTGGAGCGTTGGGATGGAGGAAGGTCTAGCTTGGGTTCAAATCCCAGCTCCTGAAGTATAAGGAGTCCATCTTGATTTCTTATATTCTCTAGCCTCAGTGGTCTCATCTGTCAAGTGAATGTCATAGTATTTAATTCATAAAATAATAAGACGAGAGATAGCATAAAGTTCAAAGAGTACTTGTTTGCTCTTAACTCTTATCTCATAAATATTGTTAACATCTCTGGGGTATCAGAAGACATGAGCAAGTAGAGTCCACTCAGCACAGAACCTCTTAGGACTGAACCAAATGCTGTGAACTTTGGCTCTATCTCACTGACATTCAGAACAAACCAACCAGAAAGAGCCCAGGAGGCCTGAGTTAGGAAAGCATGCATCAAGCATTTGAAATGACCAGATCCCCAGATCCCTGAGTCAGGAGACCATGCACCAAGCAGTGATGTGACCAGATCACCTACCAGAGCAAATAGACAAGCTTGACCTTCCCCACCCCAACACAGGTGACCCAAGTGCCGTGAAGACCAAGTCGTGCTGAGATAGTGGCTCCAAATGCCCACACTGCAGCTTATTCAACATGGCACTCACTTCTTTCATCTGTAAGCCAGAAACAGCTGTACCAGCTCGCGTTGTTGTTGATGTGTTAAATAAGTTATTCTTGGGAAAGTGCTTAGGCCTGTGCCTGGCCTTATGTAGGTTTGCTGCACCAAGTTCATTATCTCCCTCTGGGGATAATAATACTCCTTACCTTCCATGACAGCTGTGAATACTAAATTATGCAATGCATATAAAATGCTAAGCATGGGGTCATGTAACTCAGTTACTTGTCTTCATTTAGCAGCAGTGTCGACAGCGTTGCAGTAAATCATCCACGCCCTGTCTCCTGGTAATAATCCTCCAGATTGTTACCCGACATTCACACCTTGACTTGAATGTTCTTTGTTGGTTGGCTGGTTTTGATTCCTTACCTAAACAATCTACTTGTTTATTCCAGAGGAGAGAATAAAGTGATAATTCTGTTTATTATTCCCAAGGATGGGGAGGGCCGACCTTGCTAAGGATACAAAAAGACAAAGTTTCCGGCTTTGTGCTTATCTCCTAGAGCTGGTCCAGGATGAAAGGAGACCAGGCATAGACAGATCATGGTGGCTGTTGGGATGCAGCATCCCAGTGCTTCACAAACCCAGCAAGTGGAGCAGACATCACCACGGGTGATCTGGAGGCCCTTCCTCTCTGAGTCTTCAAGTGGATAATTGTCCGATTATCTTCTCGCAAGTTTGTCTTTGGATGGTGGTTAAAGAACAGCAAGTCTTTGACAGCATTGTCCTCTCATGACACCAATGACCCCCCCCAAGGTTAACTCCAAATTGCCTCAGTGCTTTTCGACTTTGTACACAGCTTTATGCTAGACACTGAGGGAAAAGCAAAAGAATCAGAAATGGGGGTGCCTCCATGGAATGGCTTAAAGAACAAACTTCTACCTCTCTCTTGACAGCAACACACACTTCGCATCCTGGTCCTCTGGGCTCCAGCAGTGCTGACCTTCTTTCTGTTACTTGCAGCAACCTCTTTCCAGACCTCAGAATCTGCAAATTTGGTTTCCTCTTTCTCAGTGTCTCTCTTGCCTTTTCCCTCCAGACCTCACCACTTTTCTCGTTTATTGTCACTCATCTTTCAGGTCTTTTAGCACAAAGGTCACACAGAAAAGCCCTACACCTCTCCCAAAGCAAGCGCATGTCCTCCTGTTAGGTCCATTCATGCCACCCTATGGATCTCATCACAACTACAATTAAGCCGGTAAATGACTGTCTCAGCAACACAGCCAGACTGTGAGCTCCCTGCAGCCAAACTCACACCGGTATCACGAGCACTTGCTAGGGCTCTGGAACACAGGTGTCCTCACCAACATTGTCTTTGTTTCATTCAATGATTACATAAGTATTTCGGTGTTACTGAGTTCACTTTTGTTAGTGTCTTATTTTATTTCTTAGAAGAATACACACAGATTAAGTTCCTTAAAGTAACCTGGTATTTAAAAAAATATTGAAATGTTTCTGAAATATTTTTAAATAAATGTTTTAAATTTCTCACTTTGAATCCGTTTAGGGAGGCATCATTGCACAGAGATAAAATTGTTTGGCTTTTAGCAATGTGTTGCAGTTATCATTCATTTACTCTGACCCCTGAATCCTAGTTCTAGAAGTGCATACTACAGAAATACCCGAAAAAGCATGCAGAGATGTATGTGTGTGATCACTAGTTGTAGCATTATTTGCAAATCAAAACATCAAAAATAATTAAAGTTTCCAGCAATAGTGTATGGTTAAAAAAAAAAAAAGTGATGGTATGTCCGCACTATGGAGTACTCTGCAGCAAGAAAAAATAAGAGTGATCTCCGTGTCGTGATACAAGGAGTTGGCCCAGCGTTCATTGATCACTGCAAACAGGAAAGTGTAGATGTCAGTTTTTCTAGAAGAAAATAAGAATCTCTCACTATGCCGTACATTTGCAAAAAAAATAAAAATTAAAAAAAACAACAACACAAGAACACAAAATTTTAAACACGAAAGGAACACAAGTGATTTTACCTTATGGGCAGTGGGGGAAGTGTGAAGGAGAAACAAATGGAAACAAAATTTCCTTACTATACTTTTTTATACTGTTATTCCTTTTGAATACTTCAATGTTGTTACCTATTAAAAGAAAAGGTAGTTTTTAAAAGCATTTCCAAAATTGAAAATAAACCAAGACAGATAAATTTAGCCATGTATCAATTTAGTAACATAACCACACAGAAAAACGATTCTCCCTCCTCCTAAGACACTTTGATCACAGAACTCTGAACATCCTTAGTGGGATATGATCCATGGACAAAAAGAACTACAAAGACTTTAAACCAAACCTAACTATTTTATGTTAATAATAAAATTCACTCTATTATTTTGAGACTTTTTTATATTAGAATCAAGCAAATGAGGAGTTATGTTAATGATGATCTAAGAGAGTAAAAGAGTCAATTATAGAATCAAAAGTTAACTATTAAACTAGTGTTGAAATGGAAGGAAAGATAGTTAAACAGAGGATGGCTTTATTCATTGTATATTACCCACCTTAGGCTATTGAAAAGGCCCAGCTGGTAGCAGTGATGCCTCCCAGGACTCAGATTTTGCTTTATAAAATCAGTATTTCCTAGAGAACTGGCTGTTTCCAGGACTGGATTAGGCAAAGGACAAGGTAAGCCTGGAACATGTTGTCATGTTCAAAAGCAAAGAGGCTTTCAAACAGTAATTGGGTTTGACAAAAGGAGATAAGAAAGAGCTAGACTGAGCTCATTTTGCCTACAATTGTGATGATTGGTGCCCTCGGAGAAGCAGTGACTAGAGTGGAATGAGGTACACGGAGTCTTCTAAAGAGGAGCCCATATGGTTCTCAAAAAAGAGAAAGCCGGGAACAAAAATTCACTTGTCATTAACTTAAGTGGTTATTAAACCAACCTCATCCTTTACAAATGTATAATTAAAGAGAAGTAATTAAGTAGTCATCCTGCCTTGTGAGTTAAAAACCATATTACAGGGCAAAGAGACCCATTCGTGACAGAAAGATCTGTTTTATGGAAGAATATCAGGCAACAAATGTGGCAGCAATGTTAGAATTATGAAGTAAGCACGTCACTACTGCTAATGAGGTTCTTGATGCAGGTCTAGAAGGCTGATCAGCTGTTAGCACACAAGGAAGCTTCTGGAAGTCTTGAGTGTGACTGAGCTTTGAATGTGAGCAAAGTCATAGAACAAAAAAGCAAGACTTGTCAGACAGGGGGTTCTGCAGAGCAGCCTGGAGAAGCTTGAGAAACTGCATTGATACTAGAGGGAGTTGTTCCCCATTGAAGAAATACAGAATAGACTCTAGAAAATTCCTTTGGAAGCAGTTTTGAGGTGGCTGAATGAGCTGTCTTTCAGAGCTCCCATCAGTAAGTTTTCCCCAGAGTTGGGTTCCCATCACTACTAAGAAATATGAGGTAGCTAATAATTCCCGGGGTGAGGTACAGAGCTCACGCTGAGAGGGGTGTGGGAACTTAAGCCAATCAAGGACAAACAAGAGTCCTCTCCCCACTTTTGATTCTTTGGGGGCATAGGGCACACTCAGTAGATCAGGGGCTCACTATTGACACTGTTTGTATTCTGTGTTGTTGACCCCTGACCTCTCAGTTGTCACTTAAAAGGGTGTGAGGTCAACCTCTGTGGCTGAATAGTCATGGAACAAAGGTACATGAGAAGCAGAGATGAAACTAGAGAACCAGGCAGGAGTCACACTAGGAAAAGTTTTTCCCACATTTGTAATAACAACTTAGTTTTCTTTGAAGGAAGGGTATGCAGGAATGAGGTTTGGGGTAGGGCAATAATAAAGAAAAGTAAAGAGTGGTTTCATTCCTGTGCTTACATCTGGCTTACTTTTAAGGTCTACCTTAAAAGGTCAAGTATCAGATGATTTGGCCATGAAGGCAAAGTTTTAGAAATGAAGGAAAAAGTGGACGCCTACTTTCGAACCCCAGCAAACAAAGAAGCGAGGCTACTTGGGAATGTAGAATCTTCAACCACTGAAAGCTAGTGAGTGAGAAGTAGTCAGTTCCCACCAATCTCCCCTGGGCGAGGGGAGGAACCACACAGTGTTTCTTCCTAACAACAGACCATAGGAGTGGAAATTATAAACGGAGCCAGGAAGTGGTCCCTTTCACTTCAACCCACTTAGAATACTTTCAAAATAGCTATCACTTGCAAAAAATAAACCTCAACATCCTAAGCAGTATACTTAGCACATATCCATGGATTCAGAAATATTACTGAGCATTTGCTAGGTGGGGGACAAAGTTATGTAGAAAGTAAGTATGCAAAGCTGAAACATTACTTCCCCAGGAAGTAAAGACCTGGTATATGAGGCTACATGTGAACAGAAAATGCAGAACAGGATGATGGGTGCTCTAGTGGGGTGAGCACAAGGGACAGCGCTTTCCCAGCCATGTGTAAGGATGTCAGCCACCCTGGGAGGCTGCACCTGGAGGTCATTGAACAGGAACAGGCTTCTTATTACGATCAAAATGTCATTCGCTTGAAAT